CGCGACCGGGTACCCCCTCAATTTACAGGTCGGGGGGGGGGGGGGGGCGGTATGAGCGAAACATACATTAACATGTTATTTTCAGGTGATGCAGCAATTGCGAACTTTTGAAATCCCACGGTGACCGTTTTAGAAGATCTGACAGACTTTTTGGGGAAAAAAGGAATCTAGCAGAAGATCTAGCAGAATGAAATTGTTCAGACTCTTCCAGCAGAATTTTGTAAAATCGGTGATCCTAGCAGAAATAATAGCAGATTTGTTTTGAACAAGTTTCAATCACTTCAAACAAATAAAACCCTTGCACGGCGGGGACAGGGCAGGCCAGGCAAGGTCTAAGCGTTGAGGTTCCCTGACGTGTACGAATTCACAGTAAAGTACTCTATCCATTTGAAGCCAGGCTACCAATTTAACAAAAAAATGCTGAAAGTTTTTTTTCAAGGAAATTGTATATCATCTGCATGTGAGTATAAGTGTTTATAATGTGTTTCGTGTAAACCTGGGTGATTTAGCAGATTTTTGTGAAAACCTAGTAGAACTTTGCGATTTTCACGCACATGCTCAGCACATTATATTATACAGGTATACTTTAAATATTTCAATAATAAAGTTGATAAAAAATATTCTACCGAAATTACATTAACTTACATCAATATGCAATTGTAACTCCACTGCCCCGTGGGTAACTAAACTTCTTCTTATATCAATTAATAACAAAAACAAATTATATCTTTATAACATTGCTAAATCCGACAAAAATGCGAAAACTGAATATATTAAATATATTACTATTTCGGACTAGTTTCTTACGAAATTCTGATAAGCAATCTTGGTTGTCAGTTTGAGCAGGAAAAACCCAACAACATTCCTCACACGTGGAAGGTCATAAATGCATTCCTTAATAATTAAGCTGTCCTAGTAGTAGTAGAAGTAGTAGTAGTAGTAGTAGTAGTAGTAGTAGTAGTAGTAGTAGTAGTAGTAGTAGTAGTAGTATAGTAGTAGTAGTAGAATACTCATATTGCCTATTGTTTTAATTACTATTTTGTTAATTTAGGCCCTAGTATTCGAAGTACACATGATTCATTTGTCGATTTTCTCAATGATCCGAACCCAAAGTTTTTCTTTTTAAAGTAGATGAACAGGAAGTGATTGGTATCGTTAACAACTTACAGAATAAGTTCTGGTCCAGACCTAATTACTCATTCATCTATTATTAAAAGCGCATAGCGCGCACTCGAGTCCACTTGGGTGTTACTTCGTGGTGCCACTGGCGAATAATTATAGACCCATTTCTATTTGGACTTGCTAATCAAAAAAATGAAAAATGTTTTTATATTCGTATCGTTCAATTTCTTAATTATTATAAACCGACTGTCAATACGAATTTAGAAGTAAACACAGGGCCGGGGCGGGGAACGCTTTTCGAACGGGGGGCCAAAAAGCTAAGGGGCTCTTGCTCAGAAAAAACAATTGCGCATCTTCCGTGGGAGTGGAGGAAAAGATTGGTTCCGTTCTTTTCGCTGTTAGCCTATATGACGAGGAACAAATTATGAATACGTTGTCCATCTTGCTCTTTGTGTTTCTTTTGTACCTATAGCTATGTAGAAAGACAATTTTTTTTATCGCGAGAGGGGCACTGTTGCTTTTGATGGCCAGTTTATGACCGCCGTTTTATTCGCGTGAAGAGCACTATTATTTGTTAGGAGCCAGTTTTCCATCTTGAGAGGGGCACATGATTTTAATGTTGTGATCGGGGCACTAATTGTGCTTTTGAGGGGCAGTTTTCCATCTCGAGAAGTTATGGCAAAAAAGAACACCATTGTTTTAATGGTCAATTTTCCATCTCGAGAGGGGAAGACTTTTATTATTTCGAGAGGGTTATTTGTGCTTTCGAGTGGTAGTTTTCCATCTCGAGAAGGAACACAATTAATCTTGTTAATGCGAGAGGGGTTATGGAGGTTCAAAAGTGGACATCTGCTTTTCTGCTGCAGGATAGCAGAAAAGCAGATTGAACGCTTTGCTAAAATGCATTTTTTCTACTTTTCTGCTTTTCTGTTATCAGAAAAGCAGGTTTTACTTTTTGCTTTTCACTGACGGTTCAAAAGTGGGCATCTGCTTTTTTGCTACCAGAAAAGCAAATCGAACGTTTTGTCACGGTGGTTCAAAATAGTGGCCATCTGCTTTTCTGCTACAAAAACTGAACAGATTGAACGTTCCCGAACGCAACAATGCCACTCTAGTACCCACCAAAAAGTGGACGGTTCCAAGTGACTCTGCCTCTGTCGTTACGTCATCACAGCTTATGGCCACTTTTGCTTGAACCATGTAGGATGGAACGCCGTATTATCGCGGTACTTATCACGTTTCTCGTTCGGAATAGAGATTGCCCACTAACCTTCCAGAATTGTCCTGTCTTATGTGTAGTATAACTCTTCCTTTTTAAATTAATATAAAAAAATCTGACGGGTAGTGTGGTTTATTCCGTGTACGATGCCTGTGAAAATAGACATGCGCGGCGTGTGCGAACGGAGGTGGACTCCCTATTATCGCGGTATGCGGGAAGTGGTTTTTATAATGATCCCAACTTTTTTGTTCATAGTTTATGTTTGACCAAAACACCCCCTGAATAAAGTCTGATATTTTCCCTGTAACGTTCAAGTTGATTAAAGACAAAATGTCTGCAGGATGATTTCTTAAGACCCTGCCCTTCCCCCGAAAGGAGAACACAAATCCCTGAGGCAAGTCTACTGATCGGCGATTGAGGGCGCCATTCACTTTACACGGTGTGCCGTTTTATTTTCGCTAACGCGCGGTGCTTATTTTGATCCCGTAAAAGTTGTTACGATTTCGCGCTGCAAATATCGTCGTTCGACTTCATTTTACATTTGCAGCTCAAGAATGGGAACCAGACAATGGAACTTTCATGGACAGAGCGCAATTAAAGATTTATGTTAAAATATAAACGGTACCTTTTAGCAGACACGGTGAGGGAAAATTTTGCAAGTTTTGGAAAACGTTAATATTTATTAAAATCGTTAAAAGTCCCGAAAGACACAACATTTTTTAATCGTCCTTTTTATACAACTCGGTAGAAAATCCTTGATGACTGGTGAACTGGATAAAAATCGCCACTTGAAGGAGTTTTGACACTGTAAAAAGAGAAATTTCCCATGCCGCGATAATAGGGATGCCGCGATAATAGGGAGTCCGACTATACCGTGACAAAACGTTCGATCTGATTTTCTGGTAGCAGAAAAGCAGATGTCCACCTTTGAACCACCGTGACAAAATGTTCAATCTGCTTTTTCGGAAGCAGAAAAGCAGATGTCCCTTTAGCAATTTAAAGTAAAACCTGCTTTTCTGATAGCAGAAAATCAGAAAAGTAGAAAAATACATTTTAGCAAAACGTACAATCTGCTTTTCTGGTAGCAGAAAAACAGAAAAGTAGAAAAATACATTTAAACAAAACGTTCAATCTGCTTTTCTGCTATTTTTTCAGCGGAAAAGCAGATGTCCACTTTTGAACCTCCATCGAGGGGTACTTTTTTTTGAGGGGCAGTTTTGCATTACAAGAGAGGAGACAATTTTATGTGTTAGCGCGATCATTATACTGTCATACGTGTGCGTTTAAGGGGCAGTTTTGTTTTCATCTCGCGCTCGAGGGTACAATGGGGGGGGGGGGGGGCAACGGAGACCATTCCACCTCCCCCCCCCCCCCCAAAAGAAAACGAACCCAATTTTTTTTAAAGGGACGTCGCAATGAAGGCATGTACTGCATGACACCACCATCTTTTCCTTAAAAAAAAAGGGTGCAAGTGGTCAGACCGCACCACATGCATCTAGAAATCCCCCAAAACATTAGGGGCCCTTAAGCGGCCCCCGAGCAGCGCGGGCCGTAATTTTGTTGGACCCACTTGTGCCCTGGATCCGCCCTTTCGGGGGCACATTTATAACTGCAAGAGGGGGACTTTTGTTGGCCTGGTGAAATCTTGGGGGGAGGAAGTGCCCCCCTGCCCCCCCCCCCCCCCCGGGGTTCCGCTGCCCCTGCAAAATGGCGTAAATCTGTGCCGTCGTGCCGAGTGGGGATGGGGGATGACCAAAACCTGAATTGCCCGGCCGTAGACATTTGAAATGCGGGGGGAAGGGGGGGGGGGTGGAGAGGGAATTACACTAGGGGGCGCTCTTCAGGATATATCAATAAGTACAAGTATACTCGCACTTACATCTGAAAAGCTTTGGCACTTTGTTTCTCCATATTTCAGTGCTGTTGAATAGATTTAAGTTGTTGTAATGCTCGAAAAATCCCAGGGGAAAAAATGGGGGGGGGGGGGGTCACCCCCAGCTATGTCAAAGCAAATTTCCCATAGAAATTCATGAAATAAAATGCGACCCCCCCCCCCCCCCCCTCTTGTCTGACACCCTAATTCTTTTTTACTGGTAATAATGTCCGCCTTTCCACAAAATACGGACCGATCCAGCTTGGTTAGGGCATGGAGGAATAAGAACACAGGGGGTAGGCCTATAAATTATGTACACACATTCTGTGATAATTATAGCGTTAATAATCGTTGGATTTTAACAGCGCCCTCATAAAAAGTATGGTAAGAGTATGTTAGTGGTTTTCGGGATATGTTTTAATATATTTGAATTTTTTTGAGATACCGACTTAAAGTTATTCTGAGTTGAGTCAATTCTACCTTCCCACAATCATGACAATCACTTGTATCATTTTTATTTTTTTGCAGAATTTTCGAAACCCCGTATGCTTCTCCTTTCGGCTTCATTTCTGGCTTATTAAACTTCATCTTTGACTTCAAAATCATTTAAAACGTAACCAAATAGGTTTGATATGCTCTAATTATGTGATTCGTATAAGTAAGAAGGACATGACTTGAAATAAGTACAGAGCCGAAACCTCCACCCTTGGGTAATTTCTCTCAATCCGGAACGAGGCCGAACATTCAAAAAGGGCCTTCGTAATGACTACGTTTATTTCTATCACGAGAGGGCGCTATGTCAAAATGTCTGCCATATAAACACAACGTGTTTAATTTTAAGCAAAGATCCTACAGCGCCTCTTGAGGCTACACGCATTTAGTGCAAATCTTCATAGTTCCATCATGTCCATGTCTTCAAGAACATTAAAGGTTGGTTGACAGTCTTTCCCTCGTGTTCCTAGTTCCGGATTTTTCTTAGTTTTGGATAGCCTCTAGCTGGAGTTACCCAGCCCTGAGTTTTATCATTGGGTTGTCTATTAGGGCTGGAGCGCATTTTTCTCAAAACTTGTAGTATTTGCAAAAAAGATTTGGAAAATGTTCAATTTTGTCCCCGTTACACACTAATTGCAACTGCAACTCACCCCAAACTTGCCTGGAATAACCATTACACAGGTCCTTGAAGTAAAAAACGATCCACGATGAAGATTCAGCCTACAATTGCAGTGAAAACAGGAGGAATAACCGCTAACTTGACAACCTTGCTGGATTGGCCAGGACCGCTATTGGTTTGTGCACAAAAAAAATTGTGTACAATGAATGGCGGTCGATTAACAGGCACAGAGAGCGATCGCTGTCAACTACTCGTTTTGCCGGCTGCGCTGGCTGTTGGCGCGTGACGTCACGCGGAAGCGTAACACCCGATGACTGTTTCATGCACTATTGGTTGCGGTTCCAGTACCAAAGCTGTGATGCGAGTGGTAAACCTTATACTAGTGCATGAAACAGTCATCGGGTGTTACGCTTCCGCGTGACGTCACGCGCCAACAGCCAGCGCAGCCGGCAAAAACGAGTAGTTGACAGCGATCGCTCTCTGTGCCTGTTAATCGACCGCCATTCATTGTACACAATTTTTTTTGTGCACAAACCAATAGCGGTCCTGGCCAATCCAGCAAGGTTGTCAAGTTAGCGGTTATTCCTCCTGTTTTCACTGCAATTGTAGGCTGAATCTTCATCGTGGATCGTTTTTTACTTCAAGGACCTGTGTAATGGTTATTCCAGGCAAGTTTGGGGTGAGTTGCAGTTGCAATTAGTGTGTAACGGGGACAAAATTGAACATTTTCCAAATCTTTTTTGCAAATACTACAAGTTTTGAGAAAAATGCGCTCCAGCCCTAATAGACAACCCAGTGATAAAACTCAGGGCTGGGTAACTCCAGCTAGATAGCCTCTAGTCCGAGTAACTTGGACCCAACTAGCCCCATAAATGTGGCCTATTTATGGGACTGCCTCCGTAAACATAGGCCACACATCCACATGTACAAAAACGTGTCGCACTTTGCCAAATTTTGTTTATCACATTTAGGCTTAATTTGTAGGGTTTTTTTGCTTTAGAAGCATACTCACCCTCTTTATAGGCTAATCAGAAAGTGCTGCCTTTTTCAGATGTCTATTTTTCGTGAAATTTCCAGATTCATTTGCACACGTTTGCGTATCAAAATTTCAACATGAAATTTCACAAAAATTAGCCATCTGAAAAAGGCAGCACTTTCTGATTAGCCTATAAAGAGGGTGAGTATGCTTCTAAAGCAAACAAACCCTACAAACTAAGCCTAAATGTGAAAATCAAAATTTGGTAAAGTGCGACACGTATTTGTACATGTGGATGTGTGGCCTATGTTTACGGAGGCAGTCCCGTAAATAGGCCACATTTATGGGGCTAGGACCCAACTAGCCCCATAATTAAACTGGACTGCCTCCGTAAACATAGGCATGATAGGCCACGCATCCACATGTACAAAAACATGTCGCACTTTGCCAAATTTTGATTTTCACATTTAGGCTTACTTTGTAGGTTTTTTTGCTTTAGAAGCATTCTCACCCTCTTTATAGGCTAATCAGAAAGTGCTGCCTTTTTCAGATGTCTAATTTTTGTGAAATTTCATGTTGAAATTTTGATACGCAAACGTGTGCAAATGTATCTGGAAATTTCACGAAAAATGGACATCTGAAAAAGGCAGCACTTTCTGATTAGCCTATAAAGAGGGTGAGTAGTCAGAGTATGCTTCTGAAGCAAAAAACCCTACAAACTAAGCCTAAATGTGAAAATCAAAATTTGGCAAAGTGCGACACGTTTTTGTACATGTGGATGTGTGGCCTATGTTTACGGAGGCAGTCCAGTAAATAGGCCACATTTATGGGGCTAGGACCCAACTTATCGTAGCTGGACTGGAGTTACCCAGCCCTAAATTTTATCATTGGGTTGTCATTTAGGGCTGGAGGACATTTTTCACGTGAACCAGCAGAGTTGGCAGGTCCCAAAAAAAATTCGAAAATGTGCAATTTTGTCCCTGTTACACACTAATTTCAACTGGAACTCACCCAAACCTTGCCTGGAATAACCATTACACAGGTCCTTGAAGTAAAAAACGATCCTCGATGAAGATTCAGCCTACAATTGAAGTGAAAAAACGAGGCATAAACCGACAACCGTGCGGTCATCATGGCGAGGCCCGCAATTGGATTTGTGCACAGCGCGTTTACCAGTTTGTTCTTGCCGGCTGCGCTGGCTGATGGCGCATGACGTCACGCGGAAGCGGATTACCCGACGACTGTTTCATGCACGATAACCGGCAAACTTTGGTTGCCATCCAGCTATGATGCGAGTGGTAAACCTCAACAGTCGTCGGGTTTCCGTTTCCGCATTAGTGACGTCATGCGCCATCAGCCAGCGCAGCCGGCAAGAACGAACTGGTAAACGCGCTGTGCACAAATCCAATTGCAGGCCTCGCCATGACCGCACGGTTGTCGGTTTATGCCTCGTTTTTTTCACTTCAATTGTAGGCTGAATCTTCATCGTGGATCATTTTTTACTTCAAGGACCTGTGTAATGGTTATTCCAGGCAAGGTTTGGGTGAGTTCCAGTTGAAATTAGTGTGTAACAGGGACAAAATTGCACATTTTTGAAATTTTTTCGAATTTTTTTGGGACCTGCCAACTCTGCTGGTTCACGTGAAAAATGTCCTCCAGCCCTAAATGACAACCCAATGATAAAATTTAGGGCTGGGTAACTCCAGCTAAACTTATCGCCTTTTTAACATTTGGACATGACCCATGGGTGGTCTGGCAAATGTAGGGTCCAAGCTAGCCCAGGTTGGACGAAGTCTTCATTGCATTACGACTGACGTCCAGCAGGGGTGTGACATCTCAGCTTTAAAGCTGATTTCAGCTATTTTTGTTTTTGGATTTCAGCTCTTTTCCCTCACTTGCTGTGTAGGCCTACAAAAGTATAGGAGATTTCCAAAGTTCAGCTTTTTTACACCTTTTTCAGCTGTTTTCAGCTGGATGACAGTTCTCTACATAAGACCACCCAAAATTTTGACCAGAGTTTTGTTATGTTTTACCTCGTTATAGAACTTAAAGCTTATTTCATGCCTACATACTCTGTGTCCTTATCTATAGACTATTGGTCCGGGGGGTTCAGGAATTCCATATGTGATGCTGACCGACGTTAATCAGGAAAATAAACTCTAAAGCAACGTTAAACTTGTACCTGTTTGTAGACTCTTTTCATCAGTTTCTCATCACCGTACCGCGTCGTACGAAAGCGCACACGCTAGCGCCCTCCTTGGTTGGTTTTGGGGGGAACGTGCAGTGACGTCACTCCAGCCAACCGAAGTCATGAAAACACTCCACCAATGACCAAAGCCGAAACATGTTTCTGGTCACGGTCGCTAAAACATGCCTGGTCATTGGATAGGCGACCGCGCGCTTACAAGTTAGTGCGCATGCGTTTGAGGGTGGTTACTTAGTCTGGTTCCATTTAGACATGAGCGTCGGGAATAATTGTCAGGTCTGGGAACCAGACTAGTGGTTACTAAGCAAATTGCGCGTGTGCACTGTGCGTTCACGCTGCACGCCACGGACGTACGTCATGCATGTACGACTAGACTCGGCGGCCGGTGAGAAACTGATGAAAAGAGTCTACAACAACCTACAAGTTTAACGTTGCTTTAGAGTTTATTTTCCTGATTAAGGTCGGTCAGCATCGCATATGGAATTCCTGAACCCAGCGGCCCAATAGATAAGGACACATAGAATACTACGACGTAAAAATTGGCTTCTCCAACAAGGTAAAAATATTGAAAATATTGGTCATACATTTTTTCGCCCGGTTTTGAGCACTTCATATCCTGGACTCCCTCCGTAACGTAGGGAGGAAAGGGAGTCCACCTGGGCTAGGGTCCAAGCTAGACCCGTGAACGTGGCTTGTAAACTATGCCACGCTCTCGTACATGTTCGAACCCAGCGAAATCGTCCTTCCGTGACAAAGACTGAACATTGCCTTACCGTGTGATAAGTATTCACACATCAAGCTTTCTTGAACATGTTGAAATCTGCTTTTACGCCAAATCTGGCATTTAAACGATATTCGAGGTAAAATCTGGCAAGATCTCGACGTCCTGCAACCTCCTCCTGATGCATGTGATTTACCACGTGATAAATGCTGCAGATAATTTGGTATCGCACTGACGCTCCGGGCACTCCTGATGTCCGGATCATAAGTGCGATTCCAAACTATTAGCTGCGTTTATCACGTGGTCTCGTTATTGGCCAATCAGACGCCGCCTATCATATGCGCCACATGAAGCAGACGGGTAGCTCGGAGGGCTCCGATAATTTTGCACGCAAATGACCCTGGGTACTCGTCCAGGGCCATTTGTCAGGGTCACTTGTCAGGTTAAAATCTAATTTCTACACGTTCGTATGGGTCTTCAGCGATGGCAAATTTCGTCGAAATGACACATCCTGAACACGCGGACAGGCAAATTTAGATTTCTAGGTGAGTACTTAACATCCATACGAAATTATGTATGGCGGATCGATTTCGCTAGGTTCGAAAATACACAACAGCATGGCGTTGTATACAACGCCACGTTCACGGGTCAAGGTCCAAGCTAGTCCCACTAACTGGGGTGCTAGAACTCCTTTTTTGGCATTTGGGATGTTGGTCTGTCGTACTAGCGTCCCACAACGGAAATATTGTCAAAGTGACAATTTCAAAGTTCACCACAAAAATCACGCAAAATACTTGACAAAAATACCTTTGAAAGTAGTCCCACTAACTGGGTCGCTAGAACTCCTTTTTTGACATTTGGGATGTTGGTCGTACAACAGACCAACATCCCAAATGTCAAAAAAGGAGTTCTAGTG